AATAAACTATCCTTTAAATGTAATTTAAAAGGTTTAGATATTTCAGCAAGCTCATAATGGCATAATAATTAATTCATTGTAAATAATGGAGGTTTTAATTGAATTTATTATCAAAAAAAATAAATTCTTTATATTCACAAAATATCGATAGTTGGTAGTAAAGATAGATTAATTTAAGTTATCCTTTATATATTCTTTGAAAAGAGTATCAATAAATAAATAGGTGAAAATGATAAGAAGACACCACCACCGAAGGGGGCGGGATTCTTAAAGGGAGTAGGCAAAGGTTTTTGAAGGGGGTTTGCATCCAGTGAAAATCCTATCATGTAGACGCTGCTCACACTTATTCTTCCCATCCAAAACCCCATTTAATACACTATTAAAACTATTACTAACACAATTATTGCTAATACATGTAACTGACTAACAGTATAATAGATAAATTTTGCCATTTCCACTTAATTACTATAATAAAGAAACTAAAAACTTAATAAAATATATTCTAAAGTACTGATTTGATAATAACAAAATCCCTGTTAAAACTATCAATGTATAAATAATATAACACATTAATCTTAACAAATTAACCTAATTATCCTGAATTTTTTTAAATATGCATTCCGGGTTTCAGGTACCACTGTAATGATTCTATCAAATATAACTACGAATAAGAATAGTATTTAATGAATACTCACATATAATGAATAAGAATATCTTGTATTTAATGAATAATCATATCATATCATATTATACACTGGGAAGACATCCCACAATTAAGTGGGCACTCCACCACCCCATAGAGGGCGTTTCCAGTGCAGTGAATTTGCATTCACTGTTTGGCAGAAAATTTACCCTACTGTCTGGGTCCTGTTTAATTTGAGTGGGATGACAGGTACCACTCATGGATAAGCCAGGATCCACAAAGTTGACAGTAATTTACCCTACTGTCAGGGTCCCGTTTAATTTGAGTGGGATGACGGGTACCACTCGTGGATAAGCCAGGATCCACATTTTAAATAATGTTTATTTATTATAAAAGATAAGATAGGAATATGTATTAGAAAAAAGGGGAGGGGGGGTGATTAAGGAGTAAAGAGAAAGAAGAATTAGTTTTTGTAATTTGTAATTTATTTATTTATTTTTTTTGTTTTGTTTTCTCTTTTTTGTTTTGTTTTCTCTTTTTTTTTAATATTATTGGTAATAAGAGATTCTTGTGTTAAAATAATGTTAATATCATATTGATCAAGGAGTTTCCTAAGTATAGTTGTTTTTGAAAGTAGGCCAGGAATGTTGTAGGAGTTTAGATTTTTGAAAATTGACATAATATAAATTTTAAAGTAAATTGTAAGATAAATTTGAATTTTGAAATATAAAAAAAATGGGGAAAAAATAAGCAGACGATACTTGGAAAATTGAAAAAGCAAAAAGCAGACAAGAGAAATGATGAATAAGAAAATATCCATGAAATTGAGTTTTAAGAGAGGATTAAAGTTAAATTTTGTTTAAGAAAGAAGTTGTAATTATATTAATTTATTTAAATTAAGTTAATAAGATTAATATATAAAAAAAATAAATTGTTAAAGGAAATAAATAATTGAAATAAAAGATAAATAAATGATTTATAATGGTATTTGCTAAACTTTATAGTAGCTTAGGTAAAGAATTGGAGAAGATAAGAAAGAATTAAGTTATGATGAATTGATTGAGATAAATTAGTAAATAAAGAAGAGAATATTTCTTTGAATCTAGAAAAAATAAAAAAATTAATGAATAAAAGTAATAACTTGACAGAGATATATTATGGGTTATGTATAATCATCAGCAATTAAAAAAGAGTCTCATTACTCTCCCAAACATCTTCCATGCATTTGAAAGAATTTGCTAGAGTTTTGATTCAGAAGAGTAGAAGTCAGGCTTTTCATGTCATAAAAAATTTATATAGTCGCAAAGTAAATATTTAAGGAATATAGTGTGCTTGAAAATGAAATTGTGAGTGATAGAAGTATTTGTAGAATTGATAAATATCATTATTTCTTGGAGGTGGCGATTTAACATCAGCCATTTTCCCGCAGACGAAAAAAGTCATTAGTGAATTGAATTATCAATTTTAAAATAAAACTAAAAATTTTCATTTAATGAATATCATATCATATCATATTATACACTGAGGAGACATCCCACAATTAAGTGGGCACTCCACCACCCCATAGAGGGTGTCTCCAGTGCAGTGAATTTGCATTCACTGTTTGGCAGAAACCCTACTGTCTGGGTCCTGTTTAATTTGAGTGGGATGACAGGTACCACTCGTGGATAAGCCAGGATCCACAAAGTTGACAGTAATTTACCCTACTGTCAGGGTCCCGTTTAATTTGAGTGGGATGATGGGTACCACTCGTGGATAAGCCAGGATCCACATTGTAAATAATGTTTATTTATTATAAAAGATAAGATAGGAATATGTATTAGAAAAAAGGAGAGGGGGGGGGGTGATTAAGGAGTAAAGAGGAAGAAGAATTAGTTTTTGTAATTTGTAATTTATTTATTTTTTTGTTTTGTTTTCTCTTTTTTTTTTATATTATTAGTAATAAGAGATTCTTGTGTTAAAATAATGTTAATATCATATTGATCAAGGAGTTTCCTAAGTATAGTTGTTTTTGAAAGTAGGCCAGGAATGTTGTAGGAGTAGATTGTTAGATTTTTGAAAATTGACATAATATAAATTTTAAAGTAAAATGTAAGATAAATTTGAATTTTGAAATAGAAAAAAATGGGGAAAAAATAAGCAGATAATACTTGAAAAATTGAAAAAGCAGACAAGAGAAATGATGAATAAGAAAATATCCATGAAATTGAGTTTTAAGAGAGGATTAAAGTTAAATTTTGTTTAAGAAAGAAGTTGTAATTATATTAAATGTTGATTTATATTATTTTGTTTAAATTAAGTTAATAAGATTAATATATAGAAAAAATAAATTGTTAAAGGAAATAAATAATTGAAATAAAAGATAAATAAATGATTTATAATGGTACTTGCTAAACTTTATAGTAGCTTAGGTAAAGAATTGGAGAAGATAAGAAAGAATTAAGTTATGATGAATTGATTGAGATAAATTAGTAAATAAAGAAGAGAATTTATTTCTTTGAGTCTAGAAAAAATAAAAAAATTAATGAATAAAAGTAATAACTTGACAGAGATATATTATGGGTTATGTATAATCATCAGCAATTAAAAAAGAGTCTCATTACTCTCCCAAACATCTTCCATGCATTTGAAAGAATTTGCTAGAGTTTTGATTCAGAAGAGTAGAAGTCAGGCTTTTCATGTCATAAAAAAATGAATTTAGTCGCAAAGCAAATATTTAAGGAATATAGTGTGCTTGAAAATGAAATTGTGAGTGATAGAAGTATTTGTAGAATTGGTAGATATCTATAAAATATAAAAGATTAAATAAAAAATAAATAGACCTGGGAGTTCAAATAAAGATATGGTAATCCATTATTTCTCGGAGGCGGCGATTTAACATCATAATTTACATAAAACTAATATTCACAATAGAAATGATCATCATATATTAAATGGAAAATATGCAACTATTCGAAAGTTGTAAATTCGTTTACTCATATCAGGATCGATCATATGATTAATTATTTAATGAATATCATATCATATATCATATTATACACTGGGGAGACATCCCACAATTAAGTGGGCACTCCACCACCCCATAGAGGGCGTCTCCAGTGCTGTGAATTTGCATTCACTGTTTGGCAGAAAATTTACCCTACTGTCTGGGCCCTGTTTAATTTGAGTGGGATGACAGGTACCACTCGTGGATAAGCCAGGATCCACAAAGTTGACAGTAATTTACCCTACTGTCAGGGTCCCGTTTAATTTGAGTGGGATGACGGGTACCACTCGTGGATAAGCCAGGATCCACATTGTATATAATGTTTATTTATTATAAAAGATAAGATAGGAATATGTATTAGAAAAAAGGGGAGGGGGGGGGGTGATTAAGGAGTAAAGAGGAAGAAGAATTAGTTTTTGTAATTTGTAATTTATTTATTTATTTTTTTTGTTTTGTTTTCTCTTTTTTGTTTTGTTTTCTCTTTTTTTTTTATATATTATTGGTAATAAGAGATTCTTGTGTTAAAATAATGTTAATATCATATTGATCAAGGAGTTTCCGTTTTTGAAAGTAGGCCAGGGATTTTTGAAAATTGACATAATATAAATTTTAAAGTAAATTGTAAGATAAATTTGAATTTTGAAATAGAAAAAAAATGGGGAAAAAATCATTTAATGAATAAGATTCACATATACGTATTTCTATTTAAGACTATATATTAATAATAATTGACAGCCCATCACTTCTTCAACGTCATAATAATAATTGACAGCCCATCACTTCTTCAACGTCATCACGACATTTATATATTTTCAATTTATAAATACTAATTTTTGTATATTTAATTTAAAAGCATAGCAAACAATATATCTTTCTTATAAAAATTCATTCATAGTAAATGAAGGGTTTTTTAATTATTTATATTTTAAATATTAACTCTTTTACATTCACTTTTTTGATAAGTGTCCCTGACAAAATAATAGGATTTAGATTTTTTTATTTTAGTGTTAAAGCCTTCTTTATATAATAATAAATAATTTATTTTAAGTATTTATACATTACATAGACAGATTCTGAATAATATATAATATTATAATAAGACAATCATAATAAAATATGCATTCATATAAAATATTAACAGTGAATAGACATGATTCATATCTATGCATATTAAATATATATAAAAACTATAATGATGGAAATCAATTAGAGCATTGCTATATATATTGAAAAATCACAATTATCTAATATAGATTTATTAATTATGTTTATTTAAAGGGTTGAAAAAAAGGAATATTATATTCATATAATAATAATCTTCAATAGCTGCCTTTCCTTCTGATTTATTATCATTTGCAAGCTGAATTATTTGCACCTAAAAATTTAATATAATAAATAAAATAAATCTATATCTTCAGCAGAAGTAAGCATGACCTCTGTATCTTCTACTGCATTTTAGGTTGGCTGAATTAAATTTGGGTCTAAAATCATTTAAATTTCTAAAATCAATTGCTAAAAAATTTATACTTTCAACAGCGAAGGCTTGAGCATCTCTTAATAGAGAGTTGCCTGTAGATTGCATTGAATTTTTAATTTAAATATTAAATTTAGTATAATAAATAAAGTAAAATATGGCTATACTTTCAATGGTAATGAGCAAAGCCTGTGCATCCTTTTCTACTACATTATAGGTTGGCTGAATTAAATTTGGGCCTGAAATCATTAAACACACTAAAAACAATTGGTATAAAATTTTTACTTTTAACAGGAAAGGATTGAGTATTTCTTATGAGAAAGTTGCTTGTAGACTGAATTGAATCTGTTCCTAAATTATTAAATTTATTTACTGTATTGTTATAAATAGTTTTATTATTTTTTTGTATGAATCATGAAATATTTTTTTGTTTGAAATTTTATTTTTAATATTTTTTTTTAGTTTCGCGCAGTCATCTTGAACGTCATTATATAAATGTTTTTAATATTTATTATGTAAAAAAAAATAAATAATAATTTAATATTTATAAAAAAAATAATCTTATATAAACTAAAAAAAAAAGTGGAAATTTATTATTAGTCAATTATATTTTTTTTATATTTATTGTTTTAAAGAGAAATAAAACCAATATATTCAAGAAAAAAAAGGGTAAAAAAAAATATACTGTTAAGTTAAACGTTTCTGTACAGTGTTTATACAAAGCAACCTGGTTAGTGCGGTTGTCGTAATATCATATAGTGGTATTTGAGTCTTCGAGTGGAAAATATCATATAGTGGTATTTGAGTCTTGAAGTGAATTGTACATCGTCTTCATCTACATCTACGGTAAAATATCATATAGTGGTATTTGAGTCTTCGAGTGGAAAATATCATATAGTGGTATTTGAGTCTTGAAGTGAATTGTACATCGTCTTCATCTACATCTACGGTAAAATATCATATAGTGGTATTTGAGTCTTCGAGTGGAAAATATCATATAGTGGTATTTGAGTCTTGAAGTGAATTGTACATCGTCTTCATCTACATCTACGGTAAAATATCATATAGTGGTATTTGAGTCTTCGAGTAAAAAATATCATATAGTGGTATTTGAGTCTTGAAGTGAATTGTACATCGTCTTCATCATCGACATCAGCTGTCCATTTATTTTTTTTTCTTTTCTCTTCTCTCTCAAAATAAAAAAAAAGTCTTGGACAGTACGGAAGTGCTGTCCAAATTTTACGAGTTGTAAATCTGTTACACAAAATTTGCCCAAATTTTTGTCGTATCTTTAGACTTATTAACTGTAGATGTACATGTATATTATTGGGTTGTTTACACTATTAATAATATCATATCTATTAACATTACAAATAACAAAAATTTTTATTTTGAAATTAATTATAAATTTTTTATAAGGTCGAAATGAAAAGTTTAAAATTTGTAAAATACTGGGAAATACAGTATAATATTTTTGGGGCATTGGTTATATTAGTAATATGGATGTGTAGCTTAATATGGGGAAGAAAGTTGAGAAGAAGTCGAAGTGTGAAAATAAAGGGGCAGACATTGACTATAGAAGGACATAATGGGGAAGAGGATGTTATGGGAAAGGTAACATGGTTCCCAGTGCAGGAGTTAATTAATGGGTGGATGGATAGCGAATTAGATAAATTAACCTATAGGCCTGAAAGGAGAGATTCATATACTAATCAGAGATTGGGGACATTTAGGGGACCTAGTGAAAGTTCACAGGGAAGGAGAGGAGAAATGAGACCCAACTTTGATTCAAGAGTAAGGGGGAGAATGAATTGTTATAATTGCGGAAGACAGGGACATATGGTCAGAGATTGCCAAGAAACGAAATGTTTTGAATGTGGAAAATATGGACATATAGCCACGTTTTGTTCAGGAAGACGTGATAAGCTACGATGTGCAGGTTGTGGTCGATTTGGTCATAATAGGGAGGAATGCAATGTGGGTAATTTCAAAACTAGAGGCGGTTTTGTGCTCCAAATGTTAGAATTATAGAAAGTGAAAAAAATAAAGGGGTAGGAATACCATTTTTGGCTGTGAATAAAGAGCAGAATAGAATCTGTTTCCGTTGCCGGAAGGAAGGACACGGGGCGAGAGATTGCGAGTATTTGTGACTATATGATGGCAAAGAGCATGCCGCAAAGGTCGGGGGGCTTTGGGCGAAAGAGATGGAAAGATTAGATTATAGTGAGAAAGATTGGGTATCAAAGGGCATATATATAAAACAAGAGGAAAGGATACATGATCCTTGCCCTAGAGTTTGGATAAATTTGAATGGAAATATGGTATCCATGTTATTTGATACCGGGGCAGCCATATCCGTGATGGGATATGAGAAATATCAGAGTATTTGGTCGGAAGGGATAATTAAACGGGAGGACATCAAGATCCGTCAGTTGGATGGATCAGAAGTCGCAGTGATGGGAAGGGTGGAGTTAAAGGTGGTATTAGAGAATAGAGTGGAGATTTTGAACTTATGGATAGTAGATCGAAAAGTAGAGTCAGTAGTGGGATGGGATTGGATCACCCGAATTGGTCCAGATTGTGGTTTTTGGGGGGTATTCGCATGGTGTGGTGTATTTTTACCTGTTGCAAGATATGAAGAAAATAGAGATATGAATTTGTGGTATGGAGAGAGATTGCCAGGAATTGAAACCTTTTTGGAAGGGGAAAGAAGAAGAGAGGATAATAGGGTTGTTAGAGACTGTAGGGGAGGTTTTGGGGGGAACTGTAGGGGAGGTTTTGGGGGGAACTATAGGGGAGGTTTTGGGGGGAACTATAGGGGGAGGTTTTGGGGGGAACTATAGGGGAGGTATTGGGGGGAACTATAGGGGAGGTATTGGGGGGAACTATAGGGGAGATATTGGGGGGAATTTTAGGGGAGGTATTGGGGAGAATTATAGGGGAGGTATCGGGGGGAACTATAGGGGAGGTATCGGGGGAAATTATAAGGGAGGTTTTGGGGGGAACTATAGGGGAGGTATTGGGGAGAATTTTAGGGGAGGTATTGGGGAGAATTTTAGGAGTTGTCGCGACTTTGGGAGAAAGGAAGAAAGAAATGATACTGAAGAACAGAAAGAAATTCATGATCAAGGAAAGTTTGAAGCGGAGCTGGAGAGATTGGCAGATGGGAAAATAATGTTGCCAGAAGAAGAGACTAGAGAAGATGATGATTTGGAACAAGGAAATACTAAGGGAACACATAGCCAACAAATGGAAATGGATGGAAAGGAAACGAGACGACGGGAAGAGAGGGAATTGCGGGATAGAGAGATAGAATTTGGTATGATCAAAGTACAAGAGGGAGTGAGAAACTTGATGAAAAATTACAAGGAGATTTTTGATGAGAAGTTGGGTTGTCTCCGAGATTATGAAGTGGATATCAAATTAAAGGAGGGATATGTGCCCAAGTTTTGTGCATTACGTCGGATACCGTTCGAATGGCGAAATGAAGTAGACAAGGAATTGGAGCAGTGGGTGCAGAAGGGCATTGTTTGTCCAGTGGAATATAGCGAATGGGCAACACCGTTAGTACCCGTGAAGAAGGCCAATGGAAAGCTTCGTTTATGCGCTGATTTTCGGGTCACGCTAAACCCGTGGGTTGTGGAGATAAAATATCCGTTACCTCGGATTGAAGAAATATTAGCTAATTTAAAGGGTAGCATATATTTTTCAAAGGTGGACTTTTCGAACGCTTACTTACAATTGAAGGTGAAACCCGAGGTACAAAAGCTATTAACGATCACGACTCCGAAGGGATTGTATGCCTTCTGTAGATTGCCGTTTGGACTTAGCGTGTCGGCTCCAATTTTTCAACGAACGATGGCGGCAGTTTTTCAAGGACTAGAGGGAGTATTTTACTACATGGATGACGTATTAGTGATGGGAAAGACTCCCGAGCAACACGAACGAAGATTGGAGGAGGTGTTCAAAAGGATCAAGGATAAAGGATTGCGGGCAAGCGTTGAAAAAAGTGTGTTGGGAGTATCAGAAATCGTATATTTGGGGCATAAAATCAATGGGAAAGAGGTCAGACCTTTAGATAAAAATATGGCAAATATAACAAGCATGTTGAAGCCTAATAATAAAGTGGAAGTACAAGCTTTCTTGGGAATGGTGAATTATTATCACCGTTTTGTGGAAGGCTTCGCGCAGATAGCGGCGCCGTTGTATAAATTGTTAAAGAAAGGAGAAAGATTTGAATGGAAGATTGAACAGGAGGAGGCTTTTGAGGAGTTGAAATTGAGGATTGGAAGGGAACCAGTACTAGTGTGTTTTGATAACGATGTGCCAGTGATATTGGCCGTTGATGCTTCGAATAGGGGTGTGGGTGGAGCGCTATTACATTGTATAGACGAATTGGAGAGACCTATTTTATTTTTCTCAAGAATCTTTAGAGAGGCCGAGACAAGATATTCAGTGATCGAGCAAGAAGCGCTAGCGGTTATATTTGGATTGACTAAATGTCGGGAATACTTGATCGGACGTCGATTTGTCATATATACGGATCACAAGCCCTTGGTTCATCTTTTCAGGAAGGACAACAAGGAGCTCATGTTGTCGCCTAGGTTGCAGCGATGGCTATTGCTGGTAGGCAGTTTCGACGTGCAAGTGAAATACCGACGAGGAAGAGAAAATTACTTACCGGATATTCTTTCTAGATGTGGAGCGGGAGAGGATTGCGAAACGAGTAGGTCGAAAGATATGGATGAAGAGGATGAGCACGGGTTGATTAGAGCAATAGTCGGAATATCTAAAGGAGGACCAGTTGCATGGGAACAACTCAAAAATGCTACTTTAAAAGATCGCGAGTTGACGAGAATCAAAGCGTGCATATTGGGTCGGAAGCAATGGCGAGATGGGGACAAAAAGTTCAAGCAAGTGGAGAAAGAGCTAACGATAGTGGACGAGTGTGTGGTACGAGGAAGTCGGGGAGTGGTGCCGTCCAGATTGCGGGAGGCAGTAAAGGCAATGATCCATGCTGGACATCAGGGTATGGAACGAATGAAACAATGGGGGCGGGAATACGTATGGTGGCCTGGCATGAATAAAGAAATCGAGAATATGGTGAGAAGTTGTGACATGTGTAATTCATGGGCAAGTATGCCTCGAAAGGACAAGAAAAGTATTTGGCCTAGGGCTACTCAACCATGGGAAAGAGTACACTTAGACTTTTTCGACTTCGAAAATAAAATATATCTCCTCGTAGTGGACGCTTACTCAAAATGGGTAGAGTATCAAGAAGTAAAGGGGTTAACAACGCTAGTAGTAATTAAGACGTTAAAAGATCTTTGGGCAAAGTTTGGGGTAGCGGAAATAGTCGTGTCGGATGGAGGACCCGCTTTTATAAGTAAACAATTTAAAGTTTTTTGTACTGAAACTGGGGCGAGACACATTTTGGCGCCTCCTTACCACCCAAGCTCAAATGGGCAGGCGGAAAGGATGGTGGCGGTGGTAAAGAGTTGGTTGAGGAAGTCGAAATATGGGGGTGGAGAGATTTGGATAGCGATTGCGTATTATAACAATAGTCGAAAGGGAGAGGAATTGTCCCCAGCAGAAAAGTTTTTGGGCCGTAGAACTCGTATTCAGTTGGATTTCTTAAGACCCAAACCGGCGCAGGAGGAAAATTCAATGGATAATCAGTGTGAATTTGTGAATGGTCAGACCGTATGGGCGAGAATTTTTGGAGGTACCCGAAAATGGGAGTCAGGAATAATTATACAGAACATGGGGCATAAAATGGTGAGAGTAAAATTCGTGGACGGAAAGGAAGGAGTTAGACACGTAGAAGATA